TTTGACTACCAACTGCAACAAAATACTTTTACAAGTGCAACAACCCCGACATTGTCCATAAAATTTCTAGCTGGCTGCAAGTATTTCAGTCAAAAATATTTCATTGCATGCAAGTTCCGGCTCATTTGTGGTTAGTAACCCTACACCGCATGCAAAATACTTCATAAACTGTCACAAAATGTACGAAATATTTTTGTGCATATTTCGAGTTTTTCATTGTGTACATACATGCGAATTTAAGCATATGTATGAACAAATAAGGATATACATATGTATGCATGTATAATGTCCTTGCACGCATGTATGGAGGTGCAGCTGAAACTCCTTTGCCTGGATAACTTGCGTTCATACGCAGTTTCGCACCTTCAATGCAATAATGCAACTAGCTGCATATAACATTTTTGCCCAGGCAAGCAGAGAAGCGTATGTAATATGCAGTAGTATGAGAGGGTGGCTGGCAGAAGCTGCCTTTGGTAGTAAAAATAAGCTCATAAACTTTTCAACCTACCACTTCATGCGTAACCTAACTCCGTAATTACATTAACGCTTATCAACAGGCGGCATTAAAAATGTACAAACATACATAAGCAGTGTGTAAGAGAGTAAGAAATTGAAGTGGGAGAGCGGCCGTGAGAGTCGCGAGCGCAATTTTTAGCTAACAAGGATTCTTGCTCTCCCCCGACTAGCTTCATTGCACTTTCATTCCGCTGAGTGAAGCAACAATTATCAGTTTATCTGCAACTCTCTTTCGCTCTCATTCTCCCATTATCACCACGCTGGATTTTTTTACTGCCGCTTAATGGCGCCTAACCTGTAATAAAGGTGAATGAAGTAAGCAGCCGGAATAGCCGAAGTTGGTATGTCCTTCTCACACAAAGTTGCTCCTGCTGTTCCAACTGCTGAGTATCCGTTCCGTTATTTATGCTGGTTTTTGCTACTTTTTTACTTTTACTAAGCAACAAAGTTGCGCACTACACTCCTTTTTTATGGAGCGCGCGGCAAGTTAAGGAGTGTGTAAGGCGACCCCTTCATACTAAGTACATAAAAAGTTCACATTAGCGGGCAGGTGGCAGGCACCACCCATTTCCAAAGGTGAGAAAAAAGTAGCAAAATGTAATCAATAATTTTAAATATTTAATGTGCAGGTGAAACGAAACGAAAATTGAAATGTTTCTCTTCATTCTACTTCATAGCAAAAAAAAAAAAAAGGTAAAATAAGCTGTTCACGTACATATATAGTTTTTGCTCATGGAATTGACAGTGAAGTATGAAGTAGATTAAGGAAAATGAGATTTATATGGTGAGCATATTTTTATGTGAAGTATGTGATATATAGAACCGAAGTGATTTTGCTGTTTAAATATACTTTCTTAGTAGGTTGGAGCTCACACAATTTTTGGGAAAGATAAAATGCTTATAAAAAAATGTTCACTCAATTTAGGCATACTTTGCTGCTACTTCTGCGAATTTTTACAAGGCACTTTTTATTATAAAATACAATTAGGATAATGCTTTTTGTCCACTCAGAACCATAAGCTTATAAAAGAAGAAAGAAAAAAAACTTGATTTGAATTGCAAATTTTGATTCATCGAGGACCAAGTAATAAAATTCTAAAGCCAACCAAAAAATTTCCATATTTGCGCTCGAAAAGCTGAACTTATGCTAAGCTCTTTTTAATGTCCAGATTATGTGCGGAGATCTTTCGCGGGATAGATGCTGACGGAACGCCCTGCTACGTCACCTATCTCATACAAAGAGTTACCCTTAATGGCGCGAATAACCGTTTTGAGATACTTAGCTGCGAGTTTCACATTATATCAATCGACAGCATTGCTCAATTTAAAGCCCTTCCGAGACCTTGTGTTGTATGCCCGCGGCCCCTTCTTATACGCCTCTTCTATACCCTTTATCAGCTTTTCCCTTATTGACGCAAGCCGATCTGGCATCGATAAAATCACCCAATGAACCTACTCTTCGGAGTATATCGTTTGCACTCCCACTTTGGATCATGGTCTCCCCAAATACGGCTTTATATGTTTCCATATTTATCGCTTCACGGTCTCGACATGCTTAACCCCATAAGCCTGTAAAAACTTTGCAAGGCATTCTCTCGATATTTGTCTGCCATTGTTGGAGTGGATGACCTTTGGAACACCGACAACGTGGAATATATCTGTTTCCAGCAAGGCCGTATTTAGGGGGGGTTGTAGGTGTCCTCCCCCTCCCCCCCTTCCTGAAATGTAGAAATGCAGGATTTTAAGTCACTAAAAACTTGGAAATAGGTAGACACCCTTTTTATTTCTTTGCAAAAAGAAACTCATTCAAGTCCCAATTTTTTCTGTATTCAATACGAACACATCTTAATTCAACATGGAATGACACTCGTTTATCTTACATTCCTGTTTCATCTTTGAAGCTAAGCTTATTCGCAAAGGAGTTAAAATGGTGCGAAAATACCTTACGAATGATACCTCATAGGTCTAAATTGGTAAGGTTTTGGCTGAGTTAGTCAAGTTTTTCTTAAACCAGTTTCTCATTATTATGCTTCCGTAGAAATTTCATTTTAAATATTTTTATGCAAACTTTTTAAGCTTAAACTGTTCAGTCATCTGAGGTAATTTTTTTCAAAAAATATTAAAAAGAAAACGTTTTTATTAATAAATGGAGGGTAATGTGGTATTGTAATAACTTAACCGACCTCTTGTTTATATTTTCGAATTAAAGTACATGTGTGGACGTCGCAGGAAAAATATAAAATCTTCTAAAAATGCAAGCTACTTTCTACAAACATGCCAAATCCGAAATATAAAATTAAAATTGAAAGTGTTTTTTGGTGATTTTTTTTTTACATTCTACACTAAAGTTTTGTTTCTCAATTTCACGTTAATGTGTTGAAAAAAAAAATATATATATATATACATACATATATGTATCAGATATGGATGATTCTATAATTAAGGTTTGCTCACTAGTGACATTAGAATTTTGGCACTCCCTTACAAAAGGTTGCACACACACGCGCACCCACACACAGTGCCTTGCTAAGGGAGCCGATTTTGTCAAGTAGGAGCCGAGAAAACTGTTTTCTGAGCAAACCTGTTTTTTTATTGAATCATGTCAGAGATGTGCACTTCGTTTTGTCATTAAATTTCTAGATCAGAAATATACCAGCTTCTAGTGAAAAAAAACATTGGCTTAGCACTCTTTGTTTTCATTACCTATATACAATTTTAAAGTTAGTGAAAAAGAACATTATATGGTGCGAATTAAAATGGGGTTTAATACATGTTACTGCGCCAACTTATTACTCCGATTGTTTTCATTATTTTTCCGTAAAATTTTTTCTTAGTTAGACATTTATCAATTAAGTTTTTTGTGGTTTGTTACCTGTAAGTGGCTTCAGCACCAAACAAGTTTTTATTTTAGGTTAAATAAGCCCAGGAGGCACTATTTTTCACTACCGTAAAATGAAATACATACATGTATATGCAAATATGTATTAACCTCAAAAAATGGTTTCAAAAAGGCTTTAAATTTATAACAAAAAAAAAAATTATAGGGAGTCCTGTAACAAAATAAATGCTTTGATATTGCTTATCTTTTAGATAATTTAACAGCAGAATATTTTACAGAGTCGAACTAGAAACTGTAATTGAATGGGGTTGCTAGTGCATGTGAAATCACTAATATCTATTGGTAAATAAATTAATATTCACTGGTAAATCGTTAACATTGTCTGCAGCTAGTGAACATTATCTAACTGTATACTCATGACATTTTTTTGGGATATGCTCACAGTAAAACAAGTTTACAGCGAACAATCTATCAAATACATTAAGAGCACTCCGCTGAAATTTACACTGTTGCTAACAGTTGTTGGAAATCTAACAACAAAATACCACTGTATCGCTATCTTATTCTCTTATACGCATATTTATCTTTAAATTTGAAATAAAGATACGAGCCATTTCGTTAAGTTTATCTGCGAAGTACAAAATATGTATTCACTCATTTCCAATTTAGGTATTCTCTATTTATGATTTCTCTTCCTCTCTCTCTCTCTCTCTTGCGCTCTGTCTCATTCACCTGTACAAGCACACATACACTTTTATAATGTTTGTTTACTTTGCCGGCCCACTGCCTAACCACCCACAACAGAGAAACGTTACTGTTGCCTATCATTGAAGCGGGAGAGTGACGAACTCTTGTATGCGAACGGTAAATGACATTACAACACGAGTGACGGTGGCGCTCAATGCAAAAAACGTTGAATGTACTATTTTTCTTGTTTTTGAGAATTTTACAGCTTTCCTTGTCGGCACGAAGGCATATGCGAATTTCAGTAAGAGCAAATATGGCCACAATAAAAACACCTACTACAACAACAACAGCCGTTAAGTGAGTCAGTTTGTTAACATAGCTGTTGCTGTTGTTGTCTTTTTTGTGCTTTGCTGTTATTGCTGTTTCAGCAACAAGAATGAGCCACAGTAACGGCAGGTACCATTTTCCACCTGCTTCGCCACACAAACACTCTCTCGCATGAATACATAAATAGGTATGTATGTATGTATGTGTGTTTAGGCACGACGACATAACGTGCTCGCATTATTTTTAATGTTTTGTGTGTGCGAATAAAAGTAAATTGCAAAAATAAATATTTGCGCTCGCAATTTCGTTTCGTTAAATTCGCTCCAAAGCCGCTGCTATTTTTGCCATTTTACGTCGCCACCCACTGCGCTAGCCATACAATGAATATATTTACATACATACGTACATACATTCATAGGCATTTTGTTACAAGGAGATTCGTACCAGGAGCACCGTAGTTGACGTTGTGTCATTTTTTGGCGCTCGCCTCTGCCCAAAAGTTCGTTCATTGCTCGTTTCACTGTTTCGTTTGTTTCGATTACATGGGAGCACATCGTTTTTACAGTTATGCCGTGTGGCGTTCACACAAGCCATGTTGATGTTGTTGTTGTTGCTCCAAGGAAACGGAAATTGCAACGCCAAAAAAGCCAGTCGAAGCGAAACTCTTGACAAAGTTGAACGCGTTTTGTGGCTGTGGCGTCGGAGTGCGTTTTGTCGTCGGTTGCGGTATATTTGCGTTTTTTAGTTATTTTCGGGTTGAAAAATTCGCGTTCGTTCGTTTGCCGCATTGTAGCACCGGGCCGTGCGTTGGTGTGTGCTTCGTACGTGTGCGTGTGCGTGAGAGTGTGCATATGCTATACACACGCGTTCACCGGACGTCTAGACGGTATCAACGCTAATGGAAATTTTTGACTGCTAGTCGAATATTTTAGAAATTTGCATAAAAATTGTGGTGCGCAAAAACTAAGGGAAACAAAAAAACTTATTGCACGAAAGTGCGGTTTTACTTTCTATTGCCGAAATCGTTTAAAGGTGTGCATGCAATTTACTTAAGAAAAATGTTGAAATTCTTTAATCTGAAAATTTAAGGATTAAAATTTACTTAATGCGTTTCATAAGTCAATCTTATGTTTGTTTTCATGTGTAACTTGTCTGACTAAAATAAAAATCAATAAATGCTGACAACTTTTTTGGCTATCTACTGTGTACTGTGCTCCGAATTGAGTTTAGTAGCGGCTAGCAGCGCCAACAGTAAAAGTGACACTATTACGGGTAAGTTTTGAATTTGTTTTTGGGGTGAAATATATTATGTGTAATTTCGTTTCTGTCAAAAAATGTTGACCTTGCACCGTGCAAAATGTGTTGGATGTTACACTCGACCCTGTAAGTGGGCATGTTTTCACCTTCTTGTAGCTCCAGCCGTTCATAATATTGTCGTTTTACGCAACAATCTGATTTTCAGGGTAACCAACTCCCTGACAAAGCTTCAAAGGGCCTTAAAAGAGTGTGGCATTTGAAGAAACGAACACAAAATTTTCTCCCCGTTTGCCTTTATTTTAGAATAGAACACGAAAAGAGAAAGGGGCAATCAAAAGACGACATTTTTTGGTAGAAACGAAGACACCATTAGTTATGTGTTAAGCGTTACTACGCTAGAAGTCTTTCGAAGAGAATAATGCTCGATGAACTAGAATAGCATGACAATTTTCTCCTCGAACCTTTAACATTTATGGTGGAATTATGTAAACTTCTCAAAGAGGCCGTATCAATTTCCGCCGCTGGTCTTGGAGGTGAAGAGCCGCTAGTCGGTAGGTAACGGAGAGATTGCGACAGTTCAGCTTGATTGGGAAGCAGTACCAAAGTGTTTGTACTACTTAGCTCTGGATAAATCGATAGTCCTCTGTAATAATGACCTAATTCAAAACTCTAACAAAACCCCTAACTAATAAACAGTGGCACATACCTCTAATCCTTTTTGGAACCATGTGAAGTCCTTACTAAATCCTTTTGACCACTTTATAACGATTTATTTAGGATTAAACATGGATTATACAAGGATTCGAGACATATGCCACTGTTCAAAAGACGATTAAGCGGTGACTGTCTGGCCGTCCGTCCGTCCGTCCGCCTGTGCACACGATAACTCGAGTAAAAATGGAGATATGTTAACGAAACTTGGTACGTACACTTCTTTCTGGCGTAGGACGGACGGTATTGAAAATGGGCAAAATCGGACAATAACCACGCCTACCTCCCATATAACGATAATTTTCAGAAATACGAAAACTGTGATATTTTAGTAACTACTCAAGATTATTCACTCAAAATTGATATTTACAAAAAGCCACCCACTTATGGTTACATGTGTATATCTCAGTAACCGCTGCACCAATTTCTTCCAAACTTGGCACAGTTTCCAGCATACGCCCACATCCCATATAACGGTAATTTAGAGAAATACGAAATCTTTGATAAGTCGGTAAATAGTAAAGCTAATTTATTAAAAATTGATGCCTGCAACAATTCATTACCAAGAAATACGTTTGTGATAAAATTTTGAAAAATGGGCGTGGCACCGCCCACTTATGATCACATGTATGTATCTCGGTAACCATTCTACCAATTTGTACCAAACTCGGTGTAGTTATTGTTCTTACCACATAGAAGCAAAACGTTGAAAATTATTGAAATTAAACTAAAATTACGGCCGCTTTTCATGTAACGGTAAATTTCAGAAATGCTTGAAACTTCAATGTTTCGAAATTTAAGGACGCTAATTTACTCAAAATTGATACACCCTGACTTACCATGTAGCGGTAGCTTTCGGAAAGGTGAAAAACATATATTTGATATTTGCGACGGGTATTTAATGTTCGGCTTCGCCCGAACTTAGACTTTCTTACTTGTTTTTCATTTAAACTTTGCAATAAATATTTCTTTTAAGTTCGAAAATTCATTTTGTTTAAAAAAGTATTGATTAGTTAGAAGTGTTGTATAAAAAAATTAGACAAAAATTCCCATAAGTTTTGCTTTTACACTTTCTTGTAATTCAAAATTCTGTAATTTTTTAAATACATATATATTTTCTATATAGCCGCAGATATTTATCACATTTAAAACGAGATCAGCGGTGGGGTTCTGACAATCGCTACGCTAAGCTTTCGTAGCAAAAATTCTCTAAATGAAGACCAGTGAGACCTAAAAGTATGCAACATGAAAAAGTACAAGGTGCAAGGTCTACTCAGACAAATCTGCCAGTATTAGGGCATGTAACTAGACGTAGCATTTTATTAGACGCACTTGCTTTTCTTTTGCAGATTTTTGGAGATCCAAATTAGCGATAGCGATTTGAATGTTGGAATCCAGTTGCAGAACCATTTTTGGAAGTGTAATAGTTTTTGAAATGTTCAAAAATGTTCTTTACTGCCCTTAAAGCAGCAGCGGCGGCATATTCTGCTGTATTTAATACCTATTATACAATCGTGTTTTCCTAGCGTCCAATGACCGGTGAAAGTCGCCACAATTCTAAATACTTCCACGCTGGATCTTCTAAGCAGCTCTGCTGTTCTTTTCCTGCTAAAGTTAGGCCAAAGCCCTGATGCTATCTTGCAAGTCTGGATCTCTGGCCACCTCCTTCTTGCTACTTCTCGAAGGTGCAAGTGGATTTCTCTTTGTATTTGCCTGAGGGGCATAGCCCTGTATCACGGCTATAGATTTCTTTCCTGCTCTCTCGTTGTCTTCTATATTCCTATGTTTGTGAGCCCAAAAAAGAGAGATGAATATTGACTGAGACGCCGAGCGTAGCTACATTTGGATTCTTTGACTAGCTTTTACTAGGTTTCAGTAAAGGATATAGCCAGGAGAGTGGCCTAGCTACCGGTGTAAATAACCGATCTTTATTTCCTGGTAGCACTATTTTCTTAGTTTCTTACATGCTTCACAAATGCCTAGAAATTCAGCCTGAAATTAGCTGGCATAGTTTGCCAGCCGAAGGTACTGATTGAAACCAAGCTCCTGGGAATATACCCTGTTCCTACACCACAATCCGTCTTGGATCCGTCAGTACAGATACAGATGGTACAGATGGCTTCCTTTTCTGCAGCTTGGCTCCTTCTCCATTCCCTTCTGGATGGAAACGGCACATGTACAATTAAGCCAAAATCAGGGCTTAATACCATCCGTCATTTTATTTGCTATCGTGGTATGGCTTAAGGTTGGGGTCCTCGCTCTCTATAGCTCTCTGAGTCATACTGCTGCGTACAACGCGGTTTCGATTAGGCATAGATCAGAGGGCATCATAGTGAGGGCTAAATTCAGTGCCCCAGTTATACCCGAGCCTGCCGCTCTTTGTATGCTATTTATGTACTTTACTCACATTGTATGGATTACTTAAAGCTGGCAACTATACTAGTGCACCGTACGTAAGGATGATAGCGGTGTACATCCACATCATCGGTTTTAAACCTCAGTTGCTATCAAAGATCCGTTTACAAGTATAAGTAGCGATGCAGTTCCACTCTTTATGTTTCTCAGCATTAATTTTCCAGTTTAATTTAGTGTTTAGAATTTATATGAAGAGTACCTTTCCCATTCAACAAATAGTTGCTAATTCAAGGTGTTCTCAAGTTACCCCCTTCCAGCATAAATCGAGCTGTTGACACCTCAAACACTTCTATGAAACATACTACATTAGATCCCTTCTTCGTACTCTCATTTTCCGCTCTCCCTCTTCCCCTTCTACTTCTACTCATAATTCCACTTGGAAACCTCCTTCTGCATATGTATGTAAGTAAATACTTTATTTTAAAAGTACATACATATATATAATAACTTCCATTCACTTACCTTATGTATAGCCTCGCATGCTCCTACCCTAAATATCAACCGTCTACGACTTTCTTTAGCAGCCATATTATTTCCGCCATCAGCGAAATACCAAATGCTACACTTCGTTTCCGTTTCCATTCCATTTTTGTTTTATTATTCCTTTTCCCTTTTTGCTGCGAGCCAAAGTAAACGTTGCCAATATTATTACAGAGTTAGACATTTGCTTTTTCGACGTTACTGGCATATGCGTCTTGTGCGCTTGCCAACAGCTCCATTTGGTACATATATGTAGGTAAGTATCTAAAATGTTTCTTCTCTGCTACAATAGCAATCCGTTCACCATTAACGTGTCATCTTTGCACCTAGACATAAGCCCCCATTTCACTGAAAAGTCTTTTTTGTTTTAGTGCTTCAGTCTAAACTCGCTTTCAATATTTGTCCTTGATTTTAACTTTCAACTACTTCTTTCTTCTACTATTACTTGCTCTCGTTTTAATTTCGCTGTTTGTATAGAAAAATGGCATAGTACTTGGAATACTATTTTATGCTGACTGCGCTGCGTAAATACATTTTTACATACATGAATGTGCTCTATATTCGCATCTCGGCATTTGCTTTTAGCTGCTCTCGCCTTTTTTGTCCGCACGCCCTTACCGCTTTAATATTTTTCCCACTTCTTCTGACATTTGTCGGTCCCTCCTGTTGCTGAAACTCTTTTTTTTCCTTTATTGGCACTTTTTTTGACAAATGTCGCCGGTATTTAGACTTCCGGCCATTCCGATGCACTGTTTGTTTTATTTTTATAATTTTTCACTATTATTGTCGGAGAAGAAATGAACAACATTGGATATTCTCATAGAAACAAATACATACATATGAACTATATTCTTCGTGCATTGTCAAACGTACCTTGAATGGTTAACAGCTGGAAACTCTGTTCAAACTAGTAGAGTAACACTTTATCAGCGAGAACTTTTTAAAACAAAGGCGTCAGGAATTCGTGATGATAGTGGCAGGTCAAACACATTTTAAAGTTCTAACATTAGGAAATTTTAAGATCTCATTAAAGTTTCCCAAGTTCTATCCATGTCTTTAAAACATGCCTCTATTTAGTTAAATCCAGAAAGCTCTTTTCAAGTAATTGTACTTGAAGTATAATTTTTGAAGTGTTAGGCAGAACTCGCTGAAAGCTTTCTGCTATCCCTTTGCTCGAAAGCTCTTCGAGGAGCTCTTGTTTTAAGATACGAATCTGTTGCCCAATCTAACTAATCCTCTAATATGCCTTTGGTATATTTAAGAAATTTTATACAAAGTTAGATTTGCTAATTATGAAGTAAGGGTCTTCATCGACATCGAGGTGGCCTTCAACAATGGCACCCCATAGGCAACAGTCAAGTATATGGGCAAATCTTAAAAACAGGTAACCTTGGTGTTATTTAGCTTTATTTTCCCTGTTGGAAACTATATCAAGCTGGTTGCTTTTGGATATAATTCATTGACTTATACTTGAAGCCTCAAAAAAAAATTGGATCAATTTGCTGCATAACTTTTGAATTATATGTGTTTAAATTAAAAAAAAAGAATGAAAACAAGTGAATTTTTTATGTAATTTTTAAGAGGGGCAAAATGAATTATGTCATAACTTTTGAAGCACACCATATTCTGATTTGAAATTTAATGGGCATTTAGCACTTATGTGTATACATCATATATAGTAGGTAAGAAAAGTGTGCATTAAAAAATAACGAAATGGCAAGTAACCCAAAGTCTGTAACTCCACATTTCACCATTTTCAACATTTTCGGTTTATCGCGTATAGTTTTTGAAATATTTAATTTTTAGAACTTTTTAAGTATGTATTGTATTCTACAAACAATTACGAATAATTTGACACCTTAGCAAGAGGTGTGCTTTCAGAATAAACAAACTTTTAAAGATAAAATATTCTGCGAGCGTAATTTTTATTTCAAAAATGTCTAAATTGAAGGCACGTTTGGAAAATACGTCGAAACGATCTAAATATTTTTATAACTACTAGTCCTTGTAACGTTGCATATACCCGTGAAATGCTTCAAAAAAGTGTTCTCTGGAAGTGTGTAAAAACACCGATTAACTACTTTTAATTATGCTTCTTCTTGTAGTCAGAATATTTCGAGCGTGGTATCAAATCGAATTTTTTTCGACAAACGTTCTGATAGTTGCTCTTACTTAATTGGAGCTTTTTAAATTCAATGGCGTCCCCAGGTTTGCCCGATTATCTCCACTTTTGGAGATAGCGGTACTTGAAACTTTGCTTAAATTTGAACTATTTTATAAAAAAAACCTGCTCAGTTTTGAAGATATTTTACTAAAATTTTGCACACGCTGGTATTTTAACATTTCCTGCACTATCTCATAAAATCATCGAAATCAGTTCACTCTAAAATCTAGCTCCCATACAACTGATTGTCCAGAGATGCTGTTTTGCGTTACAACTCCTCCAATTAAATAGGTAAAAATTTAGTATAGGTTCACTTTAACATATAGCACGCATACATATTTGAGTAGTCAGTTGTATTGGAGCTATACGTTAAAGTGCACCCATTTCGACAATTTTAAGGAATAACTAAGGTAATATTAAAAAACCGTTATGTGCAAAACTGAGGGAGTTATTTATAAAATAGTTAAAATTTTATCAAATTTTCAAATACCGTTGTCTCGAAAACCGGAGCCAACCTGGTAAAACGGGGGATGCCATTGAATTTAGAACGTCCCAATTAAGTGAGTTCAACTTTCAAAATCTTTGCTCAAAATTTACATCTTGAACAACGTAATTTGAACCCAACTTATTCTTTTGTTTTCTATTTCATGTTTATTCCTCGTCTAACTTTTGAAGCACTTGATGAATATGAAGTACACTTATATTAATCGATTCATTAAGAGAGTACGAATAAAATGATATATAAAACATAGATGTGCTCACAAATTTAAAAATAAAAATTTTTTTTGGAGAGTGTACCTATTTTTTAGATTTGCCCATATTCATAAGCTGGGGGTTGAAATCAGCATTATAAGGCTTATCTACAGTTTACTGCGTGATAGAACTCTCGTGGTGGTGTGGGGGAGCACCTGCTATCAGCGCACAGTCAAAAGGGGTACTCTGGTTGCGGTTGTAAACGACTTTCTATAGGAACTGGAAAAAGTGGGTTGTCGGATGATCGCTTATGCAGAAAAAATGGCACTTTTAGTTAAGGGACGATTTCTCGATAACCTTTTTGATCTTCTTAATAAGGCTAGTTTGGGTGCCGGATCATAGTGACTAGGGACGATTCTTTCCTCCTGTAGACTCTTGGACGGTTGGGCCTCGTTTAAGCTCGAAGGGCATGTGCAATTTCCAAATCCTTCTGCGTATCAAGCCAAAGCGGTTCAAAAACGTTTTAAATCAAGAATATTTTTGGATACAGCTGCCATCTGATCAAAATTTTTTAATCCATTTAATTAAAAAGTTAACACAGAGATTTTAGTCTGTCTGCCTGTCTGTATGTTTGGTCACACATCACTCGAAAACTGTTGCATGAAATTGAATGCAGTTTTCACCGATGTATTGCTAGAGGTCTAACTTAAAATATAAGAAGAAAAAAATAGAGAGTTGCCGCCTGTTTGAAGATTGCAGTTTGAGTAAATTATAAGATAAAGTAAATAATGCCACATTGGCTGTCAAAAGAAAGAGGTTTGAGACGGCTTACGCTGAAAATTTTCTTTTTGTGGAGATTGCCACATCTTTGAAAATTTTAATTTAATTTCTTCGATAAGATAAATTGCAATATGGGTATCAAACTGAAGAGGTTTAGAAAATTTTCAATGCCGAAAATATTTTTTAAGAAGACTGCCTCCTCTATTTATTTCATTAAATTGATAAAACAAGTAATTTTTAGCAAAAAAAGCCGACTTAAATTCTCATATAAAAAAAATATATATATATATTTCATGATCCAATGATCGGATCTAAACTGGATTTTCTTACCAGAATTCCGGGGAAGGGGAAATATTGAGGCTGGCTAAATTAGGATAACCATCTTAAGAAAAGCATGAAAATGATCAGCATCCTTATATGGCATTATACGTGTATAGACATTTAATACGAGTAGCATAACGTTAAATCGTATGTCAGAGTTTGTATTTAGTACACTGTGGGTTTGAGGCCGCTTAACCGCTATACATTTTAAAATATACCGCTTGAAAGATGATGTATGTATGTACTATATTCAATGAATTTTCAGTTTATATTTTGTGCGCTCAGAATATAATTTGGACCCATACTCTCTCCTTAGCTCTCGCAAAATGTATGATATTTAACCACATTTATTTCGCATTTGTAATTACAGGTTAAAACAAATACAAATCAGTTGGAAAATAAACACAAGCCGTAGTTAAACTGAAAAATACACTTGTGTCTAGTGTTGTCCACCAATGAAGAAAGTACCCTTAAACAAAATACATTTAATTGCACATAAACAAATACCAGAAAACCAAACAAATATTTAAACAAGACCAAAATATAAACCAAATTAAAAAGAAAATAAGCTGGGATAAGCAAATTTGGCAAAATGTAAATAAAATTATGCAAATCAGTGTAGAAACAAATATGAAAAATTAAAAGCATGTTGAAGAAATAAGAAGAATAAGTCGCAAACAGAACTTAAAACAACAGACCAGCAAAACTCCGGAGCAAAGAGCAAAAAAAAAAACACATTTAACAGAAAAATTAGCAAAGCGCGCGCCAACAATTAGTGGTGAGTAAGAAAAATATAAATTACCATAACATACATAGTGTGTGAGTTAGTGAAGAGCGAACAATAATAATAAGTTGATGAAATAAGCAGTAGCAAATTAAATATAAACCGCTTATGAAAATAACGAGCTAAAGTGGTGGCGGCCAAAAGGAAAAGGAACAACAAGCACAGCACCAAAAAAAGTATCCTACAACAAAAAATAAAAATAAAATAAATAACAAACAAACAAAAAAAAAAAAACGCAAACCCCAAAACACCGAAAGTGGCAAAGTGAAAAAATGAGCGCTGCTGCGTGCGAAAGTTTTCCCCGTGGAACCGTCGCGGCGTAGTTAGCGAGAAAATGAAAATTTGTAAAAGAAAATCAATTTCATAAGCAACAATAAAAACAAAATTTCCATCAACCCCGAGACAAGAAAATAATAAAGATCTAAACCAAAAAATAAATCACCAAAAAAAAGTGCGCCAAAGAGGCTCAAGTGCGGATACAAACAACTTGGCTAAGCTACTTGGCTAACGTGACGACGCGTCGTGGAGCCGACGCTGAAATATATATATTTCATACTTAGCACAGCTAATGGCAACGGCCGTGCAACATAAAAGGTACAGAGCAAACTTTTGTGAATGAAAGCAAAATAACCGCAAATAAGTAAGCAAACGCCAACAACAAAAGCGACCATATCGATTTTTGTGTAAGACAAGTAAGTACAGCATAAGCAATAACTTTTACAACAACAAATTACTGCAGGATATGATGAATTTGGGTTTATGTCAAAATGACTTGGGCAGCAAAAGTTTGCTGATTTGCTCATTATTTTGAAGCTTTTCTTGCAAAAACAATAACAACAATAATAAAAGTATTGCAAACTTAAAGTAACTAAAGTAATGACTGCGCGCCAGAGTTCAGTAATAACTACAAATACACACAGTAGTGTAAGTAGAAATTGATGAACAGCATTATAAGTTGACCCAGTAATCCAGCATTTGTTGGCTAGTGGATAGATTTTCCAAATGGCCTTACCGGAAGCATATTCAAACAGATTATATGCGAATATATAGAACTCGGAAAAGAGAAGTCGCGCTGTTTTTTCACAAATCATGCTTAATTGGCCATCGTATAAAACAAACTGAAATTTGTTGCGCTTCTACGCTGTTCAAACGCCAATACATCTGACTCAGAAGTGCACCAACTCAGTGTGGAGAACGTTAGATGCGAAACAAGTAAAGTGCGCTAAATTTCACTTTTGTTTCTTCCCCTGACCGAGATATATTTCTAACCAGCGGGCATAGCAACTCCCATTTTAGCTTAAAAAGGTATTCCACTGCCATTCCTGTTTGGTTTGTTGCAAAAGCGCTTAGTTGTTTAGTAGGTGGTGGGACTGCGCTAACGGTCCTTATGTTCTGTGTACACAAGCTCCAACTTCTATTGAATAGTCCTTGCGACCCCACTGCCCGGCAGTTGGTTCAGATCTTCCGTTACCAATGTCGCCAGGTCGATTGCTGGGTTCCACGTATCAGTGATCCCACAACTGGTAAGACCAGCGACTAGAAGACTACACAAACTGCCAAAATACATTACCCTTCTTTTTTTTTACAGCGGTGAAGTTCATGTGGCTATCGGAGAGGAAAAAGCTATTGGTACCGATGTCCACAACTTATCAATGGGAACTAACGTCATTCCCGATTTATAGTCCAGCTGCTTAACCAGGAGAAGCCTGCCAACAAAGTTGAGCCGTATCGCCCAATAACGCTCCCCCCAGTCCGAGACACTTGAGGTCTTGCCAGCGAGAAATTAATATGGTTTTTGGAAACTGCATGGTACCATCACCGCACTTAACGCCGTAAGCACCTAGATAACTGGTGAGGGAACAATCTTAGTAGCGTTTGACTTTTCAAAAGCATTTGGCGCCGTCGACCTTAGACGAAGACAAAGAAGAAACATTCGTGGCAACATACAAGGAAATTGTTTGACCGGTTCTAAACTAAGCAGCGCCGGTTTGGTCACCGCAGACAGCTAGGGCCCAGTGGACGGAGCTTCAGGTTTACAAAACCAAAAAAAAACACGGCATTCCGGACAGCCACGTATATAGTGAGGCCCAGATGCTCCCAAAAAGCATATTATCATCGTGAGCAAGCAATTCCTTGTAGGTGGCTACAGGCGTGAGGGCAGAGTCTAGGTGCAGAACCACGCAAATCAACTACTGGACCTGACACTGTATAGACTTGCAAACAACGACATTTGCCGGGAGACCATAACCACCTTCACTCATCCCATGAATGTCGAAAGTTTTGAATTAAACCTCCACAATGAGATTCTGGAACTCTCTGGCAGAATGGGGCTGCGTTTTCTCTCAAATTTCAACTTTGTCTTACTAAGAAAATAATCTTCTATATCTAGTTTTATTGCTTTCTTTAAACCTTCAGAGACAGAGAAAGCAAGTCCAATAAAGGGCTAAAAGAAAACGTGTTTTAGGCAAAGCCAGCTCCCGATTCTTACATGAGCACCGACTGGTCAATGTCCTTAGGAATCCGTGCAGAATGACTTAATACCTTTACGTTCGCCTCCTGATGCGGCTGTTTGAAAGACGAAGTGGAATCGGCTCAGCTGTTTCATTTCAGCTGCCCGTTTTAGGCAAGACTGAGGTTTAAATACCTTGGCTGTTATCTTATCAGCAAATACGAGGAACTCTCTCACGTGGACAGCGTGGACTTTGAGCACCCAGCGCATTCATTAATTTCGCACAAGCTAACAGCAGTTACAGTTCCATAATTTCCTAAAATGAGGCTGCATAATCAACCTCTTTTATTAATGTCTAGCGGAGCCGCTTCCAGTGCTGTAATCTAAACTAACCTAACAAAGAGTAACGACACTGTAGATTTGGTGTAAGATTTGGTCCCGCGGAGAGCTTTATGTTTTGGAAAACCTCTAAGTTCTTTCCGACGAATCCAGTTCTTCCTGGGGTAGAAAGACCTTGCGATTGCACATTCTTCAAACGCCGGTTGAGCTGACGTGGGAGCCACCTGTCCAAGATTTGTCTACAGTTCTCCCACCTCACCTTGTCCCAGTAGACTTAAACCCAATCGGTAATGCATTAAAGGCTTTTCTTAGAAATAGAGCTGAGAGATTTACAACTTCCTAGATAGATTTGGACTATTTTAGACTGAAATGTACATGTATGTACCTACTTAACCCTTTCAAGACCATG